TACTTTCAGGACCTCTTGAGTGTTGGTGATAAGAAGCCAGCTACTAGGACTAATATTTTGTAACTTTCCCTTTTTTATCATCATTTTTGCATATGGACAAGATTCGTGGTTGATTTTATGTTCTATTGTTGCTGTGATACAATCTCCAGCATCTTGTAAGGATTTCAGTAACAACTGCTTGCAGATGTGTACGTCTTCGGTGATGCTGCGACAATCTTCATCTATGTACGTGTACTCTCCCTTTCCAAGTACTAGGTATTTGGATTTGGGAATAATGGTAAGGTTGTCTTTGTTAGGAATAGAATATATATGGATAAGGTCATAGGTAGCTGTTTCTACTGAGGGTATTTCTAAAATGAAATTTAATGATTGTTCTGTACTATAAGCTTTAACCTCTATAGACTTTTCTATTTCGTGAATATTTTCTAGTAAGATCGGTGCCACGGGATTGAAGCTATATTTATGTTTCATATCTAACATTTCAATAATTAAGTTTTTGGTATTTATTACACTAGGGTGCATGATACCTATTTGTGCGAATGCCATAGCGTCTTCTAAGATCATTAGCTTATCTAATATTAACTGTAAACTAAAATCTATTTGTATATGAACTTGTAATAAACTAAACTGCCTAAATACTATATTAGAATGCTGCGTTATATTTTGTATAATTAAACTTAACCTATTTTGATTTTGATTTATCTTATCTAATTGATTCGCAAATTCTGCAATAGTCTTTTGTGCTATTACAATAGATTTTTCTTGAACAGAATGTATTTTATTATTGAGATTAGAAATTTGTTGCTCTATTTTTACTGCATCATCGTAATCTAGATTGCCTGTAACTGTTTTTACTAAAGAACCTAATCCGTTAAAAATTCCGCGTCGTACTCTACTATGGGGTGTAATAGCTATTATTTTGCTTTGTATCATCTGTATTTTATACTCTATTTGATCTGTATATGATTTATGCAACTCTCCTGGAATTATCTTATCATCATAAAACTTGGTACTTGCATATAGAGAACTCAGCTTTAATGTAGTTGTATATAAATAACTAATGTTGTAGGCACATACTAAGTTAAAAGTATCTATTTGTCTAAGGACTGACCCCTGCTTTAGCAGAAGTATACCATTAGAGTTATCAATGGGAGTGATTTTCACGGTGGTTGCTGATGTGAGCATGAGGGCTCCGGAGATGATCGTCCTGGAACAAGGTGGGGTCTTCGTAATAACTTGAAATGTACTCTTATAGATTTGGAATTAGGGTGGTTACCTATTATTTCAGCCACATTGTTAGGGTGTAAATGAATAATTTTATATGGGCCTTTAAAAGCTGGTTTTATTTTGTCGTTTCTCGCTGTTTTTGCCACCTGCTTATAAACGGTTTCACCTACCTTCAGACGTATTTCCTCTGCTTCCTGGTTTCGCTTATTTATTACCTGTTCTTTATTTTTAGACAGATTAGCTGCTACAGACTGCTGCACTGCTTCTGCATTTGTCCTATGTGTAAGTACAAAGTCTTGGTAAAACTCTTTGTTATAATAGAGTTCTAATGGGTTTCTAGCCGCTGTATGTCCATAAAGTAATTCGTGTGGAGTATAACCTGTTGTGGAATGAATGGAATTGTTATATGCGATAACTGCATATCTCATAAGTGTTTGTATAGTGTCATCTTTGTTAGTCATGCGTTGAATGCGTATAATTTCACCGATTGTTGAATGGAATCTTTCTATAGGGGAATTTGAGTTGGGGTTATATGGGGTAGTGAAGTGTATGTCTATATTATGTGACGCACAGATTTCCTTTAATATGTCGTTGTCGAATTTAGTGTCTGAGTCTGTCGTTATCTTTAGGGGCAAACCTAGTATAGCAAATATCTGTAGTAGGCCATCTGCAACGTGTACGCTGCTGGAGGCTTGTAAGGGCACAGCTTGCGCAAACTTCGAGCAATTATCAATGATAGTGAGAAATGTTCCTCCGCCAGTAGAATATAGATCCATAAATAAGTGTTGCATAGGTTTAGTAGGTGTTTCCGTTTTCATTAATGTTGGTCTTAATGGATTGCGTTCGTATTTACCTTTTAAACAAATGTCACATTTATTTACAAAAGCCTGAATTGATAGGAGCATGTTCGGCCAGTGATAATTTCTACGTAGATGTTTATACGTTTCCTGAATACCGCGATGTATATTTTTACCTTCGTGATATTTTTTTATAAGATTTTGTTATTCTGTCTTATTTTCTACTAATGTGACACGAGTTGTACACCTAAATAACTTTTGGCCTCTTTCATTAAAGACTGTGGTGTATATTTTTGAAAATTCTAAATAAAGGTTTTCGTCGAGAAAGTAACAGTGAAAAACTCTATCTGCTACAGTATGCTCTTTTAGGAATTTATTATTTCGCGTTCAGTATTGTTAATTGGTATAAATACATCTTTAATTGTTGTTTTAGAATTTGTGGACCTATCCTCTACTTTATATATAGATCCTGGAGTGGACCTTATGTAGAATTGTTTTTGCTGTCTTTCTATAGCGTCTTCTATAATTGGAATTCCTATATTGTCGTTGTCTGGTTGGGTATGTTTGGTAGATATGAGGTGACCTTTTTTTTTTTTTTTTTTAACGTGTGGAAAAATCTTCAAAAGACCGTCACCCCGCCGGAGGGATGGCGAGGTGGTGTGTGGGACTTGTACCCACTAAAAAACCACACGGTGTACCTACGAGCGCCTATGCCGGAGCCAGGGGATTCGCAAGTGCATTCTACCCCTGCTCCGACGGCGACGGCCCGCCCTGTAGATGTTGTAGGGCAGGCCCCATCTCGTTTTGTGGTTAGGGCGACCTATTTCGCCCTACTCCATTGTGGAGGCGTGTGGGTACACGCGCACACCTCCGGGGCCTTTGGATTGGGGGACTGCCTCAGATATGAGGTGACCTGGCTCAAATGAAGTTGTACTCATACTATCGGTTGATGTATGTGTTTGTACTGTAGGTGGGTTTATTGTTCCCAGGGTGGGGTGTTGTTGGCGGTCTCTCTAGACATTAAGAACGCCTTCAACACCCTGCCCTTTGCGACTATTAGGGAGGCGCTGAAGTACCATCGCGCGCCTCCCTATATTCGGGACGTGATCGGGGCCTATCTCGAAGACAGGTCTGTGCTATGCACGGGGCGGAACGGCGTTGTAGTGCCGAGGGAAATGCAATGCGGTGTTCCACAGGGATCGGTTCTGGGCCCGATCCTGTGGAACATCGGGTATGATTGGAACCTGCGGGGCGCCCTTTTAACGGGCACTGACCTCGTGTGTTACGCGGATGACACCTTGGTCACTGCCCGGGGGCGGGACCTACTGGAGACTACCCGCTTTGCCACGGCATGCGTGGCGCTGGTCGTCGGTCGTATAAGAAGGCTTGGGCTCCAGGTGGCGCTGGAGAAGACCGAGGTCCTGTGTTTTCATGGGCCTCGGCGTGCGCCACCTCCGGATGCCCAGCTGGTCGTCAGTGGCCAGAGGGTGGGGTCAAGCCCTGTATTCGATACTTGGGGCTTGACCTGGACAGTCGTTGGAGCTTCCGCGCTCACTTCCGGAACCTGGTCCCTCGCCTTATGGCAGCCGCCGGCGCTCTTAGCTGGCTGCTGCCAAATGTGAGGGGCCCGGGAGAAGGTTCCCGCCGCCTATACCTCGGCGTGGTGCGGTCCATGGCCCTGTACGGGGCCCCCATCTGGGTGGGGGCCCTAGGTAGGGAAAATGTGGCCTGCCTCAACAGGCCACACAGGGTCATGGCCATACAGGCCATAAGAGGCTACCGCACCATATCCGGGGAAGCGGCGGGTCTGCTGGCGGGGTCTCCTCCGTGGGACTTGGTAGCGGAGCTCCACGCGTCAGTGTATCACTGGCGCGCGGAGCGACGTTCCATGGGGGAGGCACCCGCTGGCCACGAGATTGGAGCGCGGAGGTCCGACTTTCGGCGGATCCTCAGGATCAGGTGGAGAGAAAGGCTGGCCAGTCCATCGGCCGGCCTGAGGACCGTCGAGGCTGTCCGTCCCATCCTCAAAAGGTGGATGAGTAGGCGATGGCCGCTGACGTACCGCATGACGCAGATACTGTCCGGGCACGGATGCTTCGGGCGGTATCTGTGTCATGTGGCGAGGAAGGAGCCGACGACCGGCTGCCACGAGTGCGGAGGTGTGGAGGACACGGCGCAACACACGCTGGAAATATGTCCAGCGTTCGAGAGTGAGCGCCGTGTCCTCACACGAATAGTGGGGGACGATCTCTCGCTGCCGAATTTAGTTCGGAGGATGATCAGTAGCGAGAGATCGTCGCTGAGCTCCTTCTGCGAGGAAGTTATCTCGCGGAAGGAGGCGGCGGAAAGGGAGCGGGAGTCAGCTCGTCCCACTTCCCTCCGCCGCAGAAGAGCCAGGCCTAGAGGTGGGGGCGTATCCAACTCCGCCCCCCTCTATCCCCCACTGGGGCCGGGGTGACTGCCTTGAGGGAGGCAGTCCCCCCAATCCAAAGGCCCCGGAGGTGTGCGCGTGTACCCACACGCCTCCACAATGGAGTAGGGCGAAATAGGTCGCCCTAACCACATAACGAGATGGGGCCTGCCCTACAACATCTACAGGGCGGGCCGTCGCCGTCGGAGCTGGGGTAGAAATGCACTTGCGAATCCCCTGGCTCCGGCATAGGCGCTCGTAGGTACACCGTGTGGTTTTTGGTGAGTACAAATCTCACACACCGCCCCGCCAAAAAAAAAAAAAAGGTGGGTTTATTGTAGGCTGTACATTTAAAGGGTTTTCTTGATTTTCAGGGGGGTCAGCTTCAGCAGCTTCAGATTCAAGTTCCCTACGTGCGTTTTCAAATATACGTGGGATAATTTCGTCGTCATCGTTGTCATCGAAATTTACTAACAGGGATTCAATGCTATTATGAAATATTTTTGCTCTGGATAAAGCATCCGCATTAGTGTTCTGTTTACCCTTTTTATATATGTCTTTATAATCATATTCAGCTAACTTTAACCTCCATCTTATTAATTTTGAATTTGGGTCTTTAAGGGACATCAGCCATGTTAATGGTCGATGATCTGTGTAGATAGTAAATTTACGGCCGTATAAATATGGTCGGAAGTATTTTACCGCCCATACTATAGCTAGCAACTCTTTTTCAATAGTTGAATAGCGGGTTTCTGTTTCAGAAAGTATCCTAGATGCATATGCAATAGGTTTGTCTGAACCTAGCGGGCCTTGAGAGAGGACTGCTCCGAGAGCAAAGTCTGATGCGTCTGTGGTAAGTATAAAGTCCTTGTCAAAGTCGGGAAATTGCAAGAGTGGGTCGTTGGTTAGTATTTGTTTACATTTATTAAAAGCATCTATGAACTCAGGTGTATGTATGACTTTGTGATTTTTTTTTTAAACAAATAGTCATAGGCTTTGTTAATTTAGCAAAATCTTTAATGAACTTTCTATAATAGCCAACTAAACCGAGGAAAGACTTAATGTCCTTCTGTGTTTTTGGAATAGGGAAATTTAAAACAGCTTTTATTTTATCTTTATTAGGTTTAAGTCCGTCGGCTGTTAGTTCATGTCCTAAGAATTGTACATGTTTCTGTAAAAATTCTGATTTATCGAGTTGAATTTTGAGATTATGAGTTTTTAAACGATCAAATACTTGTTTTAATTTATTCATGTGCTCTTGTAGTGACGTAGAAGCTATTATAACGTCATCTAAATATGTACACACGTTATCGAGTCCACGTAAAATGTGATCCATTAGTCTCTGGAATGTACTTGGAGCATTTTTGAGACCAAACGGCATTCTTAAAAATTCGAAATGTCCCCTTTCTGTTGAGAATGCTGTTTTCTCAATATCACGAGGGTGCATTTCTACCTGGTGGTACCCACTTGCTAGATCTATTGTACTGAAGTACTGTGCACGTCCTAGTCTATCGAGTATATCGCTAATGTTCGGCAAAGGATATTTGTCTTCAATAATCCTATCATTAAGTCGCCTATAGTCAATGACTAATCGCCACTTGACTTTGCCAGAAGCGTCAGGCTTCTTAGGGACTATGTGAACAGGGCATGACCATGGTGATATACTTTCGCGGATAATGCCTTGTTTCATAAGGTTATCGATTTGGGATTTAATTTCTAACCTTTGTTGTGGGGCTTGTCTATAACTACGTACAAAAATCGGGGTGTCGTCAGTTAATTTTAGTTCGTGTTTAACAGCGTGAGTGAAGGTTAAAGGGATGTTTTCGGAATAAAATAGATCTCTATACTGATAGCACAATTTAGTTATTTCGCGTTCCTCTTCTTCGTTCATATGGCTAGATCGAATTTTCTTTAAATTTTCACATAGTTCTTTATCAATATTTATATTGCTTTGCATTGAATATGAATAATGAATCGGTTTTTCATTTTGCTTATATGGTTGTAATTCGATTGGGGATTTGTTTGTAATAATTTTCTTTTCTGTATTTGAATTAATGATTGATGTTAGGAATGTCCCATTATGAACCTTAACTATTGCCGCGGGAGATACTAAACCGGGTGTCCAACTGTACTCGTCATGGATATACTGTCCGTCTGTGTAGTTACATTTAATTTTAATTATTTTTTGGCACATCGGTTCTAATCGAATATTCCTTTTGGGGTAATCGAAATAAATTGGTATGTCAGTAGTATGGGTGCGAAGTATTTTATTTTTTAAATCAATATTACTCGAGAGTGATTTTAATAGGTCTAATCCGATTAATCCTTTATATTTATTGTCAAACTCGAAAATGAGAAATTTGTGAGTGATGTTCGAGTTAAAGACTGATGGTAGGGGCAAATGAGCGACATATGCATGTTGCGTCACTGCGTGAGCTGTCTTTACCTCGAATGGTTCGTAATCGATGCATCGTTCGAGTTTCGCGTATTGAATGACATCGGGCGATATCATAGAACGTGAGGCGCCAGTATCAATGAGAAACTTTCCATTAAACTCGGGGATTATTATGTACGGGAGATGATCTTTATCTTGGTGGTTTAGTTTTATCAACTCTGGTCGTCTTCGTCCTGAGTTTCGGAAAAATCCTGAGATGTTTCAATTTGTTCTTCAATTAAGTTAGTGTTAGGGTAGTAATTGTTATGCTGTTCGTCATGAGGGGAATAATAATCTAACGGGTTGCAATAATACTGAGGTGTGTCGGACTTACCTTCGTACGGAGTATAGAATAATTCCTCATATGCGTATTGTGGAGGTATCGGTTTGTTAACCGATCGCATAGTGACGTCAGATGTAAGTTGAGTCGGACTTACCTGTTGCTGTGGAACGTTCGGTTGTCTTTGATGGCTATTGTTACTCCTAAAGTTGCCTGAGTTTTGCTTAAAATTACCGGGGATTGGTCTATTCTTCCAGGGTAATAATGAATTAACTAACTGTTGCCGTTGTTCCGGGCTGAGATTGTTTTGTTGAGGTACATATTGATTAAATGGCATTTGTCGTGAAAAATGTGGCTGCGTTGAAAAATTGAATGGTGTACCTACTTGACCATGAAATTGACGTGGAAAATTATTAGGTTTATAAATATCTATTTTTGTAGCTTTTTGCTGTTGGTTTTGGGAATTAAAACTAGAATTATTCTTATAAGTAACTGATTTCGTCTCCTCCTGTCGTGCGGTTACTATTGCAAGTTCCAATGTACCTGGCATCATAATTCTTACGCCTATTGATATATGAAAGTCCAATTGACTGATATATTGCTCAATAGCCATTTTCTCATAGTACGATGTTGCCCAACCATATACAGAGTATCTAAAAGGTCCCTAATCCTTTTACCGAAGGATTCCGCATCCTCGTTTTTATTCCGACGGATACGTGTGAGCTCTTGCATACATAACTTGAATCTCGTTCCTAGGTTCTCCTAGACGTGTTAGTAGAACGCGTTTTATATCGGGCCAACTGTTTAATGACTCCTCATAAGCTATCGCGTCGATCGCCGCACCACTAAGGCGACTTTTTATAAGACAAACTATAGCTAGAGAGCCTGCATCCGCTGTTGGGTGGATAAGTCCCATTAAATTATCAACTTCTCTTAAATAAAAGTTTAATCTTTTAGGGTTCCCATCGTATTTGGGCATGAGTTCAGTAATCATCTTATAGTCTGCTGCGAACTCCATTTTAATAATATTTTATATTTATGAGAATAACTATACTACTAATAATACGTGTATACACACAGAATTCAATTGATTTTAAATTGACTTGTGAAATCTATAGCGATACGAGCCTATAGACAGATACACATTAAAGTTCACTTATAATTAAATACGAAAGGAAATAGAGCATAGGATGTACTTGGAAAGTAATAGAGTACTCACCAACACAGCATCTTCTGCATCTCCGTTTCGGGTCTCGTCGATCACAGGTCTCCAATTTTCCGGATTCCCGCAAGTCTTCAATATGCCGCCGTTATAGTTCTTATTATGAGATCGCGGATAGTTACGATTAGCACCGTTCACTCTAGTTCTCAACACACGAAGAGTCTATTCGCGCGAGGACTTCTATTTACAAAGTCCTAGAGTGCCGCGATCCTACCGACTGCGCCACTTATGTTACGGCGGGCGATATTTGCCTTTTAAAAAAATATATTTTATTTAATTAAAACAATGAAATTATCAAAGTACAAAATGTATAATTATGTATAATGATCGAACAAGACTGCTATAAATGTAACAATTAATAATGTAAGTTAGGTGTCAATATTCTTGGTAATTTGCTGTTCCCGGTAGCGGTGTCAGCTTATTGTGCCACACTCAGCAATTTACCAGGCGTTACGCCATGGTAACTCGAGACACTATTCTTTCTGACATACTAAATTGCATAGAATATTAATTTAACACAATTTAAAGAGAAAAAAATCAAACTAATAAGGTAATAATTATTTTTCTATATTTTTTCGTCAAATTTAAGTGTATATTAAAAATTTAAGCTATTAGCAATGTCCCAATATTTTCTTCATACTCAGAGCCATAAAAATACCAAAAAAACAGAAAAAAAATGAAGGAAACGAGATTCGTGTTGACTATTTTTCTTTTCGGACTACTCTAATGCTGTTGGCCACAGCTGGCCTTTACAGCTTCACCGGACGTTAGGGGACGAGTGCAGACGGCACTCCAAACCCGCGGAAGGACTTATGGAGCAACTCCTGCCTGTTGGATACGACTTTAGTCTAAGGGTACCACTAGGGTTCGAACCTCGGCTCAGGCCGTCGTAATATCGATCTCCGTTTGAATTGGACGGGGGATCGATCGGAGTGTAATATTTATTTATTGAGTAATTCCATTGCACTTTGTAATATAGTAGTTTATATTATATATTTTGGGTTTGTTAACACAAACAAATGCAGCAGAACCGCAACATTGTTTACAAACCGCTGAAACTGTTTATGTTTCCGCAAAAATATACTTTATTAGGAAAACATTAAGGTAAACCGTTTTACCATTTCATAAACAGATACGTGTTAACTGAAATTAAACATAAGTGTTATAAAAACATGTTTGCAACATATACTATACTATTTATGTATAATTTTCCCACCAGGGTCATCATCAGGGTACCCAGGGTCATCATCATCTGCTTCTTCCTTATCCTACTTATTTGTGGTCGGCGTAATATGTTTTTCTCTTCCATTCATCCCTGTTCGCAGTCATCTCGTTATTTACTCACTTTCTTACCATATCATCTATCAGGATCACATCAGGATCAGTCACAGGATATCGTAACATTCGTGAATCTGTTCATGTATTTACAGTTACCACTTACCATCAGGTGTTATCATCAGGTTGTTTGTCATTCCTATTATAAGATTAAAAAACAACATTACCAGATTTATTATTATAAATAGATTTGATGAGAAATTTTGTAAGTATGAATGTTTGTTACTTTTTCCACGCAAAAACTACTGAACAGATTTTGATGAAACTTTACAGTAATATAGCTTATGTATCAGAACAACGCATGGGCTATAAATTTTATGCGGGTAACACCGCGGGCAGTGGAAGTAGTTAATATAGAGAAAGCGTGCTTTATGTTATGTTATGTTATGTTGCATATAAACAACATTTAATATTAAAAATTATACATATTATATATTATTGAAATTTGACGTAAATGAAACCGCGGGCATTGCTTGTCGTAAATACAAGTGCTGGTAAGTGTAGGTATAAAAATAAACGCATTACAGACGGTAGGTGGTGTCTGTACATCGTAATATCACACTTAAACGAGTTAATGCGTGTGGTCTCATCGGTATATTAACCGCATCCTCCATTTAATCGTAAGATTGCACAGATAAGTACCGTTTTGATGCTACAGAGAATGATACATTACTGAATGTTGCATTCTCTATGTGTATTACATTGTTCTAATTTCAAATTTTGAACAGATTGAAAATAAGAACGAACTTTAATCACTTAGAATGAGTGAGTTTTGGCGGCAAATTTGTTTGTATCCATTACGTGAAATTGACATGAAATAAGAACTAGTTTTGATTCACCTTTTTTTTTAAGTTTTGGCGCCAAATTTGTTTGTATTTGTTTACGCGAAAAATTTGTTTTTTTCTCATAATTACGCATACGGACGAATATTAAAATCGCCACAGTTAAGGAAATATGGAAAAGGACTGCAGAAAGTCTGTTTTTCTTATAAGAATATTACAAATTTAATAAAAAATACATCAACTTAATTCTCAAAATCTCTCAAAATCAACGCAACGGTTGAATGGTTGAGAATGCCATCAGGCATTAACTCCGCCATGTAGACAATTTTGTGTCAAAAAAAAAATACAAAAATACATAATATAATATATTTACAAATATAAATTACCGTTTTGATTATGTTATAGTATTTGAAAACAAAATCCCTCTAACATTAGAACTTAAAATTCAAATTTAATATGTAAAAAATTTAACTTAAAATTTATTGAATTTCGAACATTGGTCGATTGCTTATATTATAAAATTACATAATATACCCATATTATTACAAATTTAGATCTTCGAACGTTATAATAAAACAGTTCAATTTTCAATGTCATCCACTTTCGCAATCTATGACCGACCTAAATTTTTATGGTCTTGACACAAGATGACACGAATTCTAGTTCTCTATGGTACAAACTCAATTTTTGTCTATTGTAGTCGTATTGGGTTAACTCAAATACTAATTGAAAGGTCATCAATTTAATTTTTGACCAAAATTAACCAAAACTCATCCAGTTGTATTGTCCGGTTGGTATCGGCGTTTTTTTTTTAATAATTCTTTATTCATGACCATGGATACAAGTCCTTCAGTCGAACATATGTCGGTGTTTGGAAAAGAATATATGCCAGTTAAAATGATACTATATAAAAATAATAACATAGTGATTTTATTTGTGTTTCTATCTGTGATCTATTTTAAATACATTAAAAATTATTAATAAATAAAAAACTTTGCTGACTGATAGAAAACAAGTTAATTAAAAAAAACTTATAATTACAAATATTTTATGGCTATAATAAAAGGTAAGAACCCTCTCATAATAAAAAAGAGGTTTCATAAAGTAAAATCTGCCACACCAAGAAAATGCCGTAAAATATACCCTCAAAATATGGAATCTCAAACGGAACAGAATACACCAGAAAATATTACGCAAAACATGGTGAGGGAGCAAAATTTTGATAAAAATAATGGAGAAGACAATCAATCATACTTTGCAAAAAAACAAAACAATAAACGCAAACTATGTATATTAAGTACCAATAATACTAATAACATATTATCAAAAGCTGAGAATGCATTTGAAAACTTTAAAATAAAACATTATGTGACACCACGTTGTGGAATAAAAATTCTGCTAAATGGCTTAAATACAAAATTAAAGGATTTCACACTAGAAGACTTTTGTATTATATTAATTGGAGAAGAGGACTTCAAAACAACAGCCGATAATTACAATCTAATCTTGTATATAAGAAATCCCATCAAAAACATAAATGTGAAATGATAGCCGAGTTTAATATTATGATATATGCCTTGATTGTTGACTTCTACGACAAAAGAGATGAGATATAAATGGGTGCCAAGTTCAATGGTCTGTCCTGAAATGTATTTATAACAACATAAAATATCATTTCTTCTTATAACTTAGGATAATATACTGTAGCCTAAGTTCTAACTTGGCCAGTTCTCATATACCAATTATTACTTTCGATTGCTAGTTACTACTAATATTAAAATAGGAACCGACAAGTAACATGTTTAGAACTTGCGAAGGCTACAGTATATTTCGTATATGAAAACTAGCCAAGTTAGACCTTAGGCTACAGTATATTATCCTAAGTTATAAGAAGAAATGATATTTTATATTGTTATAAATACATTTCAGGACAGACCATTGAACTTGGCACCCATTTAGATCTCATCTCTTTTGTCGTAGAAGTCAACAATCAAGGCATATATCATAATATTAAACTCGGCTATCATTTCACATTTATGTTTTTGATGGGATATCATTACTTTTTGTACATAAATTATACGAGGTACTTATTTATAACTAAATTAATACCAAATTATTTTTGATAACTGTATTTTCGTATATTTACGGGGTATAATTGTCTCTTTTTTGTGTTATTTTCTATATTTTCTTGTAACTTTTAAATGTTCAAGTGCAATGCCAATTCAGTATCAGGAATTTTTGGGCAAATCGGGGCGGTATAACGTTCACAGATGGTTGTACTCTACAATAGAGCTCTCGTGACTTGGATCTAAATTGTTAAGACGTACTCCATCTAAGGTTTTAACTCTGGAGAGTCCAACGTAAACCTGCCCTTTATTAAATATAGAGGAGCCTATGTTGAGAAGAGGACTGCCAAAACTAAGGCCTTGTGATTTGTGGATAGTAATAGCATATGTTAAGCAAATACGGAATTGTTCTCTTTCAACATATACATAATTTAATATCTAAAACTTCGTATTGACACGTTATAGTTCATAAAGACGATTATGTAACAAATTGACTGTTATCTATTGAATTCTCAAGAAAACAATTTGTTACCAATGAGTTCTCATTCTCGAGTTAACTATACATTCCTACTTATAACTGTACTAAAATTATTATTAATTTTTGGTTTAAACTATTGTCTATACCATACGTATTTACTAAAATAATATAATAATAATATAACCACAAATATATAAGTATAATTTAAGAAAACTATGGATTTCGTAGCATAAATACCAACCTTATAGGTTAGTTCAACGTTTTATCGCACCGCTCCCACACGGCCGCGCGGCGGCGCCCTATACCGATATGCCTATTATTTAATAATTATTTATAAAAATAATGATCTTACACTATCGATGTGCGCTAAATATTGAAACAATAATTAATACCAAATCTCAGTTAATAACATAATAAATACGAAATT